TTTAAATCTTATTCTAAAAGTTCAAGGAAAATGAAATGAATTTGTTCTTCCAAACCCCACAATTTTAATTAGGAAGGGATGGAGTTATACATAAAAAACTTGGCGAAAGATTCCTCTTGGCAGCAAAGGGAATGTTCATTGTTTGTGGTTGTAATCCCGATATGGATATTTGTAGGAAATCGAAGTTATACCGATTTGATAAGGAAGGGAGTCAATGGAAAGAGAGAGGTGTTGGGACTGTGAAGCTTCTCAAGCACAAGGAAACTGGAAAGGTTAGGCTTGTGATGAGGCAATCCAAGACGCTGAAAATCTGTGCCAACCACTTGGGTCAGAATCCTTCTTTTATATTTTTGTTGATTGTTGATTTCCCTTATTGGTTTTTCTATGTTTTGTTAATGTGTTTGTGGTTGTATTTATTCTGAACTGCTGTTTGAAATCTCTTGTGTAGTCCTTCCTACTATGTCGATCCAAGAACATGCTGGGAATGAGAAGTCTTGTGTGTGGCATGCTGCTGACTTTGCTGATGGGGAACTGAAAGACGAAACTTTTTGCATTCGCTTTGCTTCAGTTGAGAGTGAGTAATCTGTTTATGCATCTTTTGGATGTTATTATTCCGCCTTTAGTTAAGATATGCTTTTTCAGCAATTTCTCTTCTTCTGATGTGTATGCTTGGAAGTCCTTGGGATAGGATTTCCATATCCTATTTGAAATCTTCTATTTTCAATCAAAATGTGCTTTATCAAGTGATAAGATGAAAAATGAAATAAGTTCACTACTTCCACAGATTGACAATTGGCGGTGTTGAGACTAGAGTAGTTTAGAGTGCCCTAATTTGTATTAGAAGACATCATTTAGTATTGATATAAAATGGTTCCAAACAGAACGGAATGGGTAGAGGACTCATATTGCCAAGTCCAACCATATACTAAAGTGTGGTGTTTGTAATTGTTACTCAGTGCAGGTTTAGGTTATTGATTATGATATGTTGAATTATGGTGATTAGCCTATTTAATGTGGCACACACTCCATACATCCATGAGTTGTAGTCTTGCTAGTGCTTCTTCAGGAGTTGTCTAGCTAATTTTCCCTGAAGACACTGAAATATCTTGGACGGTGGATTATGTCATGCAACATTTGACATTCACCACTCTTTAATTGAGGTTGATGTATTGGGGAATCAGAAACTAATTTTCTTGATGTATTCTTTACTTGTAAATTGCAATTTGTTAGTTTCATATTACAGTGTGATTACTTATTAATGGCTTACAAACTCCTTGAGTACATTCATGAAACTTAGTTACATTCCTTGCATGGGCTGTAATCCTGCAAGTCATCTTAAATCAACACTGAACAATTGTTTAGGATCACTCCAGATTTGTAGAACCGAGTTTAATGAGATAATTGGAGCAATTCTTAACGTTACCCCTCTGTGTTTCAAAACTAGATTTTTACTTTATTTTTATCTTGTCCGACAGATTGCAAGGCTTTCAAAGAGAAGGTTGAAGAAATTGCTGAATCTCAACAGACAAAATCTGGAGAAAGTGAAGAAGCTGGTGCTGCTGCTACTGAACTTATTGAAAAGCTTAGTGTTGAAAGCAAAGATAAAAATGACAAGCCCGAAGACAAAGAGTCCCCTGCAGCTACAGAGGAAAAGGAAGATAAGAAGGAAGAGAATGCTGATGAGAAGAATTAAAATGTTTGTATTTTTCAGTCAGAGTTTTTTTTTTTTGGAAGGTTTATAGCATTCGTTGTTTCTGTCTGATCGTATAGATATGAGAGATATAAGCAATGTTTCTCTTGTGGTCTTATTTGTTGTGTTGGGATGGTTTGGATTTTCATTCGGGTCTCGAGTCGAGTGCAGCTTCATGTTTTATTGTGGTCTTTGGTGTTTTCTTGTACTTATTTATTGTGTGTTTGAAAATTTTGGTTCACGGGGGTACACCACCCAGTATAAGGGATTACGTTTGTTAAAATCTTTAGTACTGTTGCTGAGATTATTTTTGAGTTACAGTTATTGCGGGTAAGGGAATGGTAACTCTTCCCTTGTTTGGATCTTTTAACATGAGAGCTGAAAGTTATATTAGTCTCTTCCTTGATTGCCTCTCTTAGCTCTGTCATAGGAGATAATTTGGAAGAAATTTGGACGTTGAAAATGAAAGAGCACTATTCTTTCACTCGACTTTACATCATATATATATAAAAAAAAAATTAGTAGTTTGACTAAATACTTGTACAAGGCATGGAGCCAATAGACTATGGAAATGTAACCTGAGGATCTTGGGAGGGAAACAGGATGCTAGTACCAAGGGGCTGGATTTGATCAATAAAACCACATATCTAGTGAAATAAATAATTGTTCAAATCACCTAAAACATGATTGATAGAGTTATCTAATACCTCAATAGGTGAGGTGAGCATGTGCTGTTCATAACACCACTTATTAGTTAGGTGGTTGGACATAGTTGATATTTGAAAATGAAGTAGTATTTGAAGTTGAAGCGTGTACACATGAGAAGTTGTGAGTGAACTTGAAAAACTCTTTAAAAAATCTATATTTCAAACTCCAAAAGTAAATATTTCAAGTTTGTGCCAATTTGATAAACAAACACTTACTTGAAAGAATCATCTCTTTGGAAGATACATGGACAAACGGAAAGACTGATGACACAATGTTAAAGCTAAAGCTTCTCATGCTCACAAAATTATTTCCTAGCCATGTCTCAAAGGTTTTTGTTCAAAGATGTCAAATATTACTATCATTTATTTGTAGTCAAAACAAAATTGTTTGACATATCATGGTCCACATTTACTGAAAAGCCTCTACCATAACAAAAAGTGAAGATACAATGAGGATTGCAATATTTATGAACAAAGTTTTGCCCATATATTTAAAAAAGGAACCACAGTATAATTGGTCCCAGAAGAAATATTTCCCATTCGATTAATTTCATCTGACCAGAAATTACCACAAGAGAAAGCATTTGATTGCCAACCTGGGCAATGGATGATATTAAGCAGTCTAAGTTTCTATTGCACAAACATTACATTTCCTACAACAGTTTCCATGTCCTACGAATCAACCGAGTTTCTCAAGCATTACTGTACACTTATATCATGGTGCTGCCAAATGTAGAGAGAACCCACTTGGAATGCTGATGAAGGGGTGAACAACCTGATCAAATACAACAGGTGTATGCTACCACCACCTTCGCTAGTTTCTTTTTCAATATAAAGCTGGCGATATCATGGAGATATTGCATAACCGGTTGACGTTATCATCTCTGTGTCTATTTCTCCACCTGCTCCCTTTGTTGAAGGATAGTCCTTAGAATTATCTGCAGATGTATTAATTAGACTAGTAGAATAAGAAGTTCGATATTTAAACCATATACAAGGTCATAACACTTACTGAATATGGAATCAATTGACGGTCGCCTAGGTGATGTGTCCCTTGTAGGATCTGGAAAAAAATTAAATGAGAATGAAATCACTCTGCGTACTTATAAGTAGACAAAGATAAAATAAACATTTTCCATCACATAAAGCAAATAGAAACGTGACAGATACTACTCATTAGTTCAGGGTAACAGAGATGAGGTTCAAAATAGCAAAAGGTTTCCGTGCGGTCTTTTGAAGTTCTATTTGTTTCCTATTTTGGATAAAGTGCCATTGGATGTTCAACAAGAAGGTAATAGTCTAATGCCTGGTTTGCCTTCTGAAATAGTTTAAACATTCACTTTGGTTCTTTATATTATAATTTCCACAAAACTTCTTGCAGGTTAGCATCACTAGTTTATTATTTTTTTGAAACCGGATCAGCGTAGAGCCAGACCAATAATTATAAACCATCCTCTCCACTTCCTACAGAATATATAAAACCATGTGCAATTGAGAAACTGCATCCTTAAAATATCAGAGAGCTTGGGAAAGGAAGCAAAGTAGTTGTACCAAAACGTCCAAACTCAGCCTAGAAGCCAGATAAACAAACAAATAGATTTGCAACACCATCATCATGAATAGTAACAATAACAATAATAAGTAATACTAATATCAATCTTGTGAACTCTGAACTGGTTTCATTTTCAGATAAGAACTTGCAGAGAATCCCTCCAAAGTTAGAGGAAACCTACAGTGCTTCTTTGGAGGTAGTTACAGTAGTTCCAGGGAAATTTCTAGTTAGGTGTCAGAGGTCCACTTTTATGAAAGATAAGCACACACAAATGTCTAACTAAAGTATAATTACACAATTGTAGAAGGCCTTGAAAGGGGAACAAATGACTCACCAGAAGAGTTGCGTAGTGCCTTGACAGCATCAAAGTTTTTGTACGTATAGCCCACAAAACTTAAATCTTTGGGAGTTAATGACATCTATAAATATGAAACTTGAAGTTAGATAACTAACTTATCTGAGGCTGCAAACACATATTAGTAGGATGTTATTTTGCATCAAATATTTCACTTGAAATATGGATAATATTCTCATAGGTTAGGTAGAAGAATACCAGGATGGGACTATTGCGAGAAATTTTAGATGTACCACAAATCATGCAGGCAGCAGCACAAACACTAGAAAAGACTTCATGATCCTTTCAGAATCTTGCACAGTTGTGCTCAAATCCACCTTTCTATAACTTTCGCATAAACACTTTATAACCACTTCTAAATTGCAGCTAAGCTTTGTGTCATTATTTATGCATGTAAGGACACATATCCCAAGGAATGGACATGTTTTCTGAGTGCAAAATGTCATGACTTTTAGGAGGTCGATGTACAAGAAACAAAACAAGAAGATCGAAGTAAAAGAACAACTTTGCTTTTTTTCTTTTTTAGTAGTAAAAGATATCGACGGTAAAGTACTTGGTTAAAGTAAAACATCTACTTTACTAATGATTCATAAAGCATGTTATACACATGACCATTCAGGTAGGTTTTATTCAAAAGTACGTATGCAATAATGTGGTGTCAATTGGATCTAAGGCTATATATCTGTTAACTAAAAAAGAAAAAGATATAGAAAATATATCAAAAATCTACAAGCCTCTGAAGTATATATACATATAAGAAATACTTGCTGGATGTGATGAGGAAATGGGATTTGGCGAAAGATGGGTTGGGTAAATAAAGTTTTGCATAAGCACTGTCAAATTTTCAGTACTGATAAATGGTACTCCTGCTGGTTTTTTTCCTTCCCAGATAGGCTTAAGGTAAGGAGATCCTCGCTCTCTTTTCCTTTTCATCATAGCCATGGAAGGACTGAATGGTATGGTGAAAAGAACACAGGAAAATTATTGGATCAGGGGTTCAAAGTTAACGCAAGAGCTGACTGTAGTATGGTTATTTCTCACCTTCAGTATGCTGATGATTCTCTTGCATTTTGTGAAGTTGACAGAGAACAGTCGATGATGATGAGGGTGATTTTTTCATTCTGGTTGAAGATATCTCAGGCTTACATATTGGCTGGAACACAAGCAATGTATATCCAGATGTAAATGATATCCCAAGTTTGGCTAATATTTTGTATAGAAAAGTTGGGGAACTGCCAACTGTATGCTTGGGGATTCCGTTGGGAACAAGGAGCAAATCAAATAGGATATGGAATGGAGTTATAGAAAAATGTGAGAAGAAACTGGCCAATTGGAAGTGCCAGTACCTTTCATTGGGGTGTGGCTTATTCTAATAAACTCAGTTCTGGATGCTATGCCAACATGCATGATGTCTCTATTCCCTATTCCAGTGAATGCTGGCTGTTGCCGAGAGAATTGATTCCTTTAGAAGAAATTTTCTATGGGAAGGAAACAGTGAAAAGAAAAAAATTCACCTTGTCAAATGGGATTCACTGGTAATCAGCAAGAAGGATTGGGGTTTGGGGAAAAGAGCTTAGAAGGTACAGAACCGAAGCTTGATGATGAGATGGCCATGGAAGTTTGCTTCAAATGAGCATTCACTGTGGAAGGAGGTGATTAGGAGAAATACAGTACAGAAGAACAGTAGACCACCAACATGGTAAATGAGCCTTCCTTATGGAGTTGGTCTGTGGAAGCCCATAAGGAATCCTTTGCCAGAATTCAGCACCAAAACCACTCTTAAAATTGGTAATGGTATAAAGATTTATTTTTGGAATGGCAATTGGTTGGGAAGTGGTGCTTTGGTAAATCTCTTCCTGATATTCACAGGATCAATCAACAACAACAAGCTACAGTTGGAGAGGTATGGAGTCCTCAAGGCTGGACCCTTACCTTCAGAAGATCCCTTTTTGATTGGGAGATGGGCAGAGTGGTTGAATTATATAAAATGCTGGAGCAGATTACTAGGATCAGTTGATATGGCAAGGACACAAAACTGGGAACTTCTCTGTTAGTTTAGCTAATAGGAAATTCAACACATCTAATTATGTTTTGGAGAGTTGGCCATGGAAAATGATATGGAAGGTTAAAATTCCATACGAAGTTGCATGTTTTACTTGGTTACTGGCCAGAGGAGCAGTTCTTACACAGGAAAATCTTGCCAGGAGAGGATAATACCCTTGTACTCTAGATGTTACATATGTGGAGAAGAGGCAAAGACAATTATTCATCTTTTTTTTACATTGTAAGGGAACTTCACAGCTATGGAGGATATTTTTAAACTTAAGGGGTATACAATGGGTAACACCAAGAAGTATCTCGTAATTTCTCAATTGCTGGAACGGTGAAGGCCACCCAACTGGCAACAAAAAGAGATGGAGGATTGTCCCAGCTTGCATTTGGTGGACAATCTGGGAAAGAAATCAAAGATGTTTTGCAGAGAAGACTAGCAACATCCAGAAGTTGAAATTGAAGTGTCATCTTTTTTTACTTTTGGTGTAAAGGGATAAGCTTAGAAGATCATGGTTCAATTTTCGATGTTCTAATTCCTTGTAAAGAAGATATAGGATGGCAGAGATATTTTGCATGGCATTTTGTAATTATGGGGGACTCACACAATTTTGAAGTGGGAGGTCCAACTTTATATCTATATATACAAATATGTTACCTTCTCAAAAAAAAAAAAGAGAAGCTATACATATTTAGAGAGCTACTGATTTGCAATATCCAACGTAGCTTGCATTTATATTTTTGGATAAGAGTGGATGAAAACAGATTTAAGTAGTTTTTTTGTTTGAATGAAGCCAAAACATGGCTCCACAGTATGTTCTGAGTAAACCCTTCTAAGCTTCTGTCTTTTGCTTATTGCTACAGAATTTCAGGCAAGTGGCCAATAATAAGGATCCACATACGTTATCAGTTCATTGGCCATAAAATACTATCATATACAAAAGGTACTGAAATACAGACAGAAAAGAACCAGTGGTTACAAACCTTCCGAGAAGGTCCTGAACCAGATCTTGCTGATGTTGGAGTATCCATCTATGAAGAAGTCCAGAAGGCAAGAAAACAGTTACAAGGAGAAACAGATTACATTTGAACTAGATGACATAGGTGACAGACTATAGATCCACCAAATATAGTTTCAGAAGGCTAACATGTGAATAAAGCATATTCTTGCCAGTAGGCAATTGAAAAAGTGAGGACCACGAGTTTGAAATCACAAAGCAAAATGCTCGGCATGAATTGTCTTTAAAAGAAGCCAGAACTAAAGACCATGCACAATATTGTGTGACTAACTTTGACTAGAAACATAGATTAAGGAGAAAGCTTGACTTAACTAATACAAGCATAGCAGCAAGGATAAAATTTAGATCTTGACTTAAAGTTAGCTAGTCGAAAAAGTACCCTACTCATGAAGTAATAGAAAGCAACTGCTTTTAGAAAGTGAGATTACAAGGCAGGATACAAATTGCATTGTAAGAAACTCTACCAGTTTCTTGTCTTAACTTATTTGTGAAAAGAGAATGGAAGAGAGAAAACTCTTTTGAAAATGGTCATTAGGGGACATATCGCAGATTACAGCCTCTAACAATTTAACTTGAAAAACGAGGGCAATTCACACACTTCAACACTGTACATATATACATACATTTAGCGGATAGCGGAACACACACATTTATCCCCCCTCCCCCACAAATCTTTTGGCCATTTTAAAACCCAACTTTACTCCATGCTCATAGCTATCGAGTTCGAACTTAAGCAACTCATCGACAACTTCCAAGACCAATATATATATTCAACCCAAAACAAATGCACAATTGAGGAACACATGCTGTTGAATGCGAGAATAACCATCATGGGAATTTTGTTATTTGTTTGAGAAAGAATAGTGCTTCAAGAGGCTGCCATTTTGGAAGGTTGTGCAAATGCCTACTATGTGACTTGTATCTTCTAAAGGGCAGCATACAAACAGTATAAAACTCTTAGATGAGTAGGTCCACACGCTTCACATGGTTTCAGAGGAAGCAGAGGTCCTTATTCGAGTTTCACCATCTCCCACCAACAAAATATTTTAACGTACTTGACCCAAGAAAAAGAATCAAACCCACATGCGAGAGGGTGTGCTGTGGATCTAAAAACAAATAATAGAAATCTACCCTCTACTACTTAACCTTTTGGATGAGGCATTTCTCACGGTTCACCAATATTCTAAGCAGACAGTGAAAAGAAGACACATGTCGCAGTCCATTTTGTAAGTAAATGCAGATGGTGGGACAGTAATGTATAAATAAAATAAGGAAAATATTGTAGGTGTTACAAATAGACATTAACTATGCATTAGATATTTAAAAGGATCAAAAGGGTTTATGTCACTGGCTATGAAAGTCATTAACTTTCTCCAATAAAAAAATAAGACTCATTCAGTTTCATGAAATACCTCATCATACTTCATGAAATTCTGGGTGTCCAGCTCTCCATTAACTTCTGGTTTGAAGGCTGCTTCCATTTCATACAGCCTATCCCATACAATATCCTTGAACCAAGGATGAGCCTGATAAACCACTTCAAATAAATTTAACAGAAGAAACATGAAGGTTCTAGTGAAAGTGATTGGATGAATGATTCAAATATACCTTTATTTGGTTTGCACCTCCAGTGCCCAGTCTATGCTCAACATCACATAGTAACCTGCAAATAAGATCCTTTGCCTCATGTGAGAGTTTGGTATCTTCAGGAAATTTTAGGTGATTTCTCCAGTGAACTATCTGGCAATCACACACATGGAGTTAGAATCTGATAGATTTGGAAGAGCAGGAGAATCTGAAAAGAAGGCTTTCTTCAACAAGAAGGCAACCAGTACATTGTAGTTGGTCTAATACAGAGATAGGTGTCACTAATACACCACATTCTCATAGTAAACATTGATTGTAGCACTGGCAAGCAAATCACTATGAATGCAATACATCTGAGACTTGTAGTGCAAAAGGTAGAAGACTTAGACCCAATTGACCAAACGACAGACGCTAATCTAAGTGGTTAAGCATCACGTGAAAAGGTCTCAGACATCAGCTGTCCAAGCTAGCAGTTCTCCGGCTCAGCAAAGAAAGGTGGTTCATACTCGGACGAGATCGCATACAAAGCATTCTAGTTCTTTGTATGTGGACATTTTGCAACATGTTCTTAGCATCAAACTTTTCTACCATTCTCTTGATTTACAGCAAAAGAAGCAGGGCACTTTCTGTTATCTCAGAAGCAATAGATATCCTTATCATACAAAAACGGAAAGCATACAGCATACTTGAAGAAAACAGAAAGTAGAGATGCTACCTTTCTGCAAGTAGTTATTGGATCATCGGCGTAGAATGGAGGGTAACCAATGAGCATTTCGTACATAATTGCACCAAGGGACCACCTGCATGTAGTGTATAGTAGATAAAAGATGAGAAATACATAAAGCACAACATGGTTCATTCTACTTTAGAAAATAACTAGAAATTATACAACAGGTTAGAAAACAAAAGCATTTTCCTGCAGTCCTCATCAAACTAAAGCGAAAACATAGGTCTGTGGATATGGTCAAGCTTCCAGTGAAGTTCCACGAAATCCCAAACTACAAATATGTCTCATTCCACTAGAGGTTGTTGTGCAGATGAGGCACTGGATCTTGTAACATCAGATATATCATATCCCCAGAATGGTGAAGGCTTGAAGGGGGGGAGGTTAAGCACTTAATTTACAGTTTTCCACTTGGTCATAAAAGGAGGCAGCAGGAACCTTTGACAGATGTATCCTACTCCTTTCTTCCTAACCTTTCCATGGACTAGAATCAAGAAACTCTAACTCCCTTCACCTTCAAATTAACATGATTTCTCCCCCAGGGCGAAATCTTTCTCTAGCCCCCTTCCAATTGCTCCAAAATATTTATTTTGTCCCCCATCCCACTCCTATTCCCATTACCTCATGCAGCATCCTCCCACGCTAAATTGCTAACACTGATGTCCTCACTCCTCCCTACTTCTCCTTTGCCTTCCCAACACAAGCAGGTAGCAGGCAGCCAGCAGCCCAACTTAAAAAACCAGATAACCTTAGTCTGCTTTCTCAATCTCCATTAGTATCTACTTTACTTTCTCTTCCGTTGTCAGTGGTTATTTGACCATTCCATTCCTTGTCTGGTAGGGTTCTTTTTGTTTTTTGTTTGCCACTAATTGGTATTGCTAGATTGAATTTAGTTAAGATAGACATAGAGGTGCAACAAATTTTTCCTGCCTCTACTTCATTTTATCATGGACGAGGAGTTTAAGAAAAGAAAGATTTTAACTCAAGACAGAATATGACACACCAAAAGTACCCTAAGTATCTAATTGCCTGAAACATGCCATGTCAATTAGGATAAAATCAGAATGTTCAAACTAAAGAATTTCCAAATATAGAAATATGTCGATCTTTTCAGAGCAGACTGAAAAGAAAGAGTATCTTCATCAAAAAGAAAAGAGTATCTTATAAAATAAAACATAGAGAATACAGTTTTTTAATTATCATTATCAGTAAAAGGTGCCACCACATATGTTAGCAATCGAACTAATCAAAAGAGAAGTATCCAAGGTAAATATTGGGAGGCAAATCCATCAATTAGTTCAATGAATTTATATACCAACTTGAACAAGGTCTTGCTATTGACATTTGGACATTTGTCACATAGATTCATGCACAGCAGTGACACGCATGAGCAGAGAATCCAAGAACTCCTGGTGATCTATGCAAAAAAACTAACTCTAATTTCGGAATGAACACTAACCAATCACATTCCATTCCATATCCTTTCTTCAATAGTACCTCAGGAGCAATATAGTCTGGTGTACCAACTGTTGAAAATGCCTTTTAGATGATGAAGAAGACAAAAATTAGTTTTAAATACATAGAAAATTCAATACTTGCTAAATAACACATATCTAAATTTAGTGTCTACAAAAGTGAATATTAAGATTATATATCAGAGTTATTGACATATTGCAAAAAAGCATTCTTTCATTGACTGAAATACAAGCCAATACAATTTCTCATTCCTGCAATGATCTGGTTTTACATAAGTGCAAGTGTTGGGAACAAGATAAATTCATTCAACTATAACACATGATTTTGTATCTTATATTAGACTTCTGCTGTTTTGAGATATCCTTTTCATTTATGTAGGGGATTCCTATAAAGATGTTTCTTATACTATGCTTCGGGTTGTATTGGTTCACCAAGCAGGTAGTGGCTTGTTGGGTTCCATGTTGCAACACATGAATTTTGTTTCCATGAAATTATGTAAATCCTCACACAACGCAAAGAAGAAACAACATATATCAGTAATATAACATACCAATTTCCTTCTGTTTATCTGCCAATGATGAAGTTTTTCGCGGGGGGTTTTCCACTTATTTCCATCATTGGTATCTGGGAAGCTGCTATCTATATCCATAGGATCCTTTATATTCTCATCATCCATAGCTTCATTTTCTTTTAATGTGGATAACGTTCTACAATCAAGAGGCTTACACAGACCAAAATCAGAGAGCTTCATGTGACCATTTTTGTCCAAAAGAAGGTTGTCAGGTTTGATATCTCTGGAAAAAAAATCGAAAATATAAACACCAAAACAGTCACAACGTCGAAAGAACTATGCCTCAAGAAAGCTATTACATATTCACATTCAAATTATGCACATAAATTATCTTAAGTCTTAATTATCTCATAATAGTAACTTTCACAAATAAGAAGTTGATGCAAACATACCTGTGAATGTAATTATGCTTGTGAATAGACTCTATAGCTAGGACACTCTGACCAATATAAAATTTAGCTACAGTTTCAGACAATGTATCTTCTCTCATCAGCAGAGTCATCATGTCACCGCCAGGAAGATACTCCATGACAAGGTAAAGATATTCAGCATCTTGGAATGAGTAGTATAATTTTACAATACAATGACTGGCCACTTCTGC